ATTTATAATAAATTTTCCAATACAAATTTCAAATTCAATATTGAAAATTGTGATTTTTATATATTGAAAATTTAAGAGTAGAGCGTTAAAGATCTATATAGATGAACCTAGCAAGTATTCATATTCATATTCATAAGAATTAAAGTTTTAAAAAAGAATGAAATTAAAAAGACATGCATGTTTGGTTCATTAGATTTCACAAAACTTGAAAATCTTTGTCTTCATGTAATTGTATATGAAATTCGTGACATCGTAGTACTCAGTATTAGTTAAAAAAGCTATTAATAAGATTAATTTACAATCATAATAATGATAGTACTAATAAAGTAGAATTCCATATGCATGTATGTTGATTAAAGGAATAATATTAAAATTAAAAAACTCTAGTACGAAAATAATGGAGAATCTAAATCTTAATTTCAGGCTAAAAATACGTGAAACATTTGGCAGATTCGTGTCAAAACATAGGTGATTATATTGAGTATCCCTACTTTTGTTGAGCGGCTTGTTTTTTTTTTTTGAAGGAGGGTTGAGCGGCTTGTTTTTTAGTATAAAGAAGATTACTTGTATTCGAATCTTTGTTCCAAAACTATGAACCTATATCAGCTGTATGTTGTATGTTGCTTCAAGTCTCATTCATTCGACCTCCATCTCTGAAGTTTTTGAGCCGAAGAACATGCATTCAAATCATGCACGAATATAATAATAATATTCATTTATAATATACGCATGCATGTAAAACCATTAGTAGTACAATAGTAACTGGTTAGATTTAGGGATAATTTTACTTAACAAGAGTATGCAATTTAAATTTTTATAGGCGAATAGGACGCATTTATATTACTCGTAATAGTTAAGGAATAATGTACTGGCATGATTTCGAATTCATTGGATGATGGACGACGCACTTGTAGTGTTGCACATTATATGAATACGACTATTCATATATATGAGCAAACAATAACAAACTTCAGAGCTACTCTAATGTATAAAATTTCATGTGCATGGTCCATATTCTATACTTTAATTTTATTAGAAACAAACGGCTATAAGTTTTACAATACAGCTAGATTATTCCATAATACGATTTGTATTGGCGAATTAGGAGGAAAAAAAGTGGGTAGTGCTAGCTAGAAATGTGTTATGCACCCTGCCTACCATCCCATGGTTGGTAATATATCAATATCATAGTTAATTAATTACTTGATTTGAAGTTAATTGGTAGTTTAATCTTAGATATGATATTAATTAGGAAGCTATATATGGATGAACCAAAACATGATATATAGGATGACGGCTGTGCACATGGATCCCTCTTTTAAGGTAGGCTTGATTTTGTTATTTATACCATTCAATTGTTTTAATTTGCGACATAGTTAGTGCTTTGTGTGTATTAACTATGAAGCCAATAATTAAATTCTTTAATTTGATGTCTTATTTATTATAACTAATTACACCGAAATGTGGGAGTATATACCTTATAATATGACATGTACGAATGAAGTTTATAGTGCTATACATACATCTTGTTTGTTAGATAATCAAAGTCGATATTAAGGTCGTTGCTCGTCATCTTCTCATAAATCATCGGCTTCATCACTACCGTTCCTTAGCTTGATCGAGAGCTATAAATAAAACACTAATAAGGATTAATTCGGTATTCTTAATCTTTAAATAAATAAATGTTTTAACCACTTATTATACTGCTCGCGTGCTTTAATTTCATCTTCATCTTACTAGTTGTAAAATTATAATGCCAAAATCTTTCAATATATATTGATGTATGTAAGTTGAAGTTTAAAACTTAAAACACCAACAAACATGAAAATAAAACGTCTTGCCTAGCTCAATATTGTTACGTACCATATTTGGAGAAATGTTTTCATTAGCAACATGGTTGGACTAATGTTGTTATATGCATGGACCTTTTGACGATTATTAAAGAAATATGAAATATTTGTCTCCATCTATCAATTGCATTTTAGATTCTTCGTCGTAATTAAAAGATTATGAATTTAGGTAATTATATAATGTAATGTAGTTGTATATATTATACTAAATAAAGTATATATTTAGCTAGTTATCGACGCCTACAACACTGCCCTAAGCTAGCTTTGTAAACCTTTAACATTTATACATGCATCTTTTGCTAGCTCGATAATTGAGAATTTGAGACATCACCTTTTTCACTGATCATCATAATAGAAGTAGATTATTAATGAAGGTGCCAAAGTAATTAAGTGATAACTAAGCGAAAGGATTACACAACACAACCACTTTTAATTAAAAAATAAACTCCACAAATTATGCGGCAAAAAAGTTAATGTTTTTCAATGGTAGCCATTTATGGGACAAAATTAAAAGATAATACATTAATACACCAACAAATTAAACAATATTATTGCAAAATATAAAAGGGGGATTCGATGAAGTTTTCTGAAAGATCAAATCTTTAATTAATAATGTGGCCCAAAGAAGAATGATCAAATCATATGTATATCGTTGGAAAGCCATGTTCTTCATGTGATTATTCTCAAACAAGAAGTTGTCACCCATGTTCTTTTTCATCCTTTTTGCAATTTGAAACATGCTCTTCGTCTATGGAAAATAACTAATCAATCTCACATTTCACACCTTTTTTTTTCTTTTTTGTTTTGTTTTATTTTCACAAGTCCAAACATTGTTTAGTGAAGAGACTTTAAATTAAATTAAACCTTTAGCTTTTCACTAGCTATACTTTAATCTAACCCCGATCCATCTATCCTAGTAGTCATAAACTTATATGTAATTTTATAGTTAATGTACGATAATAAAATTGTACATTGTTTCTTGAATTGGAGAATATAATGCGTGTCCTTAAGCATGATTATGCAAGGTACTTTATGGAGCAAAGTGGAGTGACGAGGATATCTTAGCTATGAGACGTGGCATATTTATGGTTTATTACTACTAATTAAGTTGTATTCTGGGAGTCTCATGTGTTAATGAGGTGGTCACATGACACTAATGATTTTTGCTAATTAGCATTTTTTAGCATGCTAGGGTTACGTTAATTGCTAATTAGAGCTAGCTAATCAATCCCTTTTTCATGTGCTATTATATAGATCTCATTTCTATCTAATTAATTAGGATAAATATCTTATCCAAAGCATGGCAATTTGCATTTCTTTATATTTTATACTACTTTTAATTAATGTTACATATATATATGCAGCAATTTGCTTATGCTCTCCAACACAAATATGGTGTCAGCAATTATTTTAGATTATTATTGTAAAAAAGTAGCAAAATGTGCTCATCTTTCGACATTAACATGTAGATGATATACTATATATTAGACTGTCAGTCACTGTGCATTATTTATATTTGTGAGTTGGAAGCAAATTATATATTGTGCATATTATCGTCTTGAAAATATTTGGAAGAATTGGTGTCATACTGTCATTCTCATTATGTGCTTACGACCTTATTCATTATTTTTCATTCACGATGCAAGAGTTTCTGGAAATATGCATGTAGGTTTAAATAAGTGGATGATCAAGGGTGTTCACTATTACAATAATTATTATAAGTTTCAATAGGTTCAATAATTTATATAAATCGGCGAATTTTCTAACGTGCTTGCTTAGAATGATACTCCAAACCGTAAGATAACATTTGTATATTAAAAAGGAAATTTTGCTCGATTAGTTCAAATTAGATCATGATGAACATACACGCGTTAATGACACTATGTCAGCACATACATGATACTAATACAACACAGTGCAAATGTATAGTAAAAATAAATAAAAGTAAAATAGATATGAGACATTTCTTTCATCTATCACACTAAACATAATGTAACATCTTTTAATTATTTTTCTCTTTTGTACATCATTAATAAGGCAACTTGCTTGACAAGTTGACATCACATTTTGTAAAATTTGGATTATTCATGGCAATTTGGCTTTCCCCATACTTTGTGATCATTATGCATCAACTTTCAACTTCAATTATGTGTTACATATTTGATAGAGTTAATATCTATTTATTTCTTTCATGGGATTCAAATAAGGGGTTATGTTTTTTATCTTTTGACACCAACCATCCTAAAACCCTGGCCTAATATGCATGGGAACAAAAAGAGTAAGGTGTTATGATATTCTATTCTAAACTATCTAGCTAAAACAAACTCGTATACACAATTTTGAAGAACATATTCATTAGCAACAACATAGTTTGCAACTCAACCAACTTCACACTATATGCTTAAACCCTAATTTTACAAAATTGCATAAGATATTTAATGTCGTCAGTCAAGACCTTAAAAGAGTTTAATGACCGCTTATGCAAAGTTTTCTTTCTAAGTTTTTGATTTCATTAATTTTGTGTGTATTTTTTTACGACAAAAGCTGGTATTATTTATTCCCTTCTCCCACTTATTTTTAGGGTTACCGCTCATCAACCGAGAGAATTGGTCATAAGAGAGGGTAGAATTTTTGCCAAAAGACCCATGTTCGTTAATTATCATAGATATATACTACATCCGTCTCTCTAAAGTTGCTCCACAATTAAAATCAGTCATTAGAGAGGGTAGAATTTTTGCCAAAAGAGTGAAAAGACCCATGTTCGTTAATTATCATAGATATATACTATATCAGTACATCCATCTCTCTAAAGTTGCTCCACAGTTAAAATCGGTCATAAAAGAGGGTAGAATTTTTGCCAAAAGATCCATATTAGTTAATTATCATAGATATATACTACATCCGTCTTTCGAAAGTTGCTCCACAATTAAAAAAATTGGATTTGATAAAGTTTAGTCGAAGTTTGGGAGTATTTCGTAGTCAAAGTACTTTAGATTTTGCCGGTTATAAACAATTACTACGTAAACAGGGAAAAATCAGAAAATAGGGTTTGTATGACGCAAGCCGCAAAACACGCAAAATTTTCTCTCTCCTCCCAAATTCCAGACTGATGGTGGTCAGCGAAACAGAGGAATCATATTTCAGGTTTGTCCGTGAATCTGACATTTCAATACCTTCTTCATGCTTCTCATATCAGAGAAGTTGATCTCTTTAAGGGTTTTGTTAATTGTTAGATTCACGCACAAACTCGCAATTTGTCTCCTCTTTCTTTTATCTTGTTTAATTTGCCTTTTTCAATTGACCCTCTCTTAATTTCAATTGTATTTTTCCTAGATTTAATTTGATTACAAAATTGGTTCTTTGATTCATTTTGGTTGGTGGGTTTTTATTGTGAGTTTTAATTTCATGGATTTTATCTGTTCTTTTGGTATTAATTTGCTTGTTATTGATTAGAAAAAGATGATAGGATGCTTCTTGATTATGAGCAACTAGAGAACAGTAGAATTTAGAGTAGAGTGTAATTTCTGTTTTGAACTAGATTTATAGTTGTATGTATTCCATTATATGCTTATTGATTATTGACCTTGCTGAGTTGCCGTTGATATTATTGATGATGTATATTAAATCTTAGTACTGTTGTGTTTACCCATGTTCAAGTTCAGATTGAGCTTAATTTTCTTTTTTTCCTAAAATTATGGCAAATTGAGAGATTGGGTTTGATGATGTATATGATACTGTCTTACTTATGGGGTATTTTTTGCTCATTTGGAGAGCTTAAATTGAGGAAAAAAAATAAAATAAAATAAAATTGGATGAACCTGATTTGTAGCAAAGGTGTGATCTTGTTCATGAACTCTCACTTATGTCATTGTGCTGAGAATATTTGTTTATCTGAATGTTGGAAAGATTCTGATTATTTTAAGTATGTTAAGGGTAAAGATCATTTTTCCTTTTGTGTCTGTTTTATATTTTGAATTGCTCATTGTTCATATAATTTCTTCCTTGTACTATTGATTTCAAGTGATGTGTGTTTGGGAGTTTAAATCTAAGAATTTTAGAAAATGTTGCCAATACCATGGTCTTTAGTTGGCTCATTGCCCTTTAACTTTTAGAAGTCATGGTGTGTGTTGAGATCGAGCTTGATAATGTGCTAAACTTACTTGGATTTTGGGGTGAGGATTGCATTTAGATATAGGTGTGAGTGTATGATCTTAGTGTGTGTTATGCATGCTTAGAATATTGAGATTATATGTGGATTTTGTGCTGTGCATGCTTAAAAAACTGAGATCGTGGTCATTGTGGTATGCATGCTTAGCAAATTCGGATTATATGTGGCTTTTGTGCTATGGATTCTTAGCATATTGAGATTATAGACTTTATGTGATGCATTCTTTGCAAATTGAGATTGAGCCTGATCATGTATATGTTACTATCTTACATGAACTCGAGGTTAAAGATTATGGGTGTGATTGTGTGATTTCAATCGTCAGGAACTCTTCTGTCTAGTTTTTACCTCCCTCTGTCCCTTTGATTTTTGCACCATGGACCCACTTTTTGGGTCAAATGGTGCATAATGTAAGGGATGGAGGGAGTATTAGAGAAATAGTTGCCTCACTTCCCCAGAGGCAGGATTCATACTAAGTGTTACTATTTTAGGTTGTGTTGTATAGCACCTAGTAGCAATATCACACATTTTTACCTTCGAAAATTATCATTTAGTAGGGCTTATATCAACAGCAAACCACACTTATTTCCATATCTAGCAGCGACTCTGCTTTGCCTATTTGCCTTCATGCTTCACTCATGATATATCACATTGACTTTCTTTAGAACATTTTCTTCCTCTGTAAACGTACTTGTTTGTCAAGTGACGTATGCTTGATGAAATACTTAATTAAGTTATTTTCATGTTTCTTTTGATGAGGTTAGTGCCCAAATTAGTTTTATAAAGCCTATAGGAGGAGCCATTTCTCAGTTTAATAGGCCTCTTATCTGAAATGGCCAAGTTAACATGTCAATCACGCCTCATTAGGCAAATAATATTATATTAGTCATCACTTGGTCAGGCAAATAATTGACTTTCTTCTCTGGAGTGCTATATTTTCGAGGTGCATCCTGATTTCGTATATGTTAGCTACGGCCTGGTGGTCAGGCCTGATAATTGTTATAAGAACTAGATTAACAAAATTAAAATGTTTTGAGCTGATGATTTATGGGGAAAAGATCCATATGGTGACCTAGAGGGAGAGCTATGGTTACAGGGGTTACATATGTCCATTGCTCCTACAACAGCTTATGGATGGGTCCGATTGTTTGCCCCGATTGGGATATGTTTACAAGTGATCATGTTTGTGCTAGCTTCCATGCTGTCTCACAGCCATTTGCTGAGGACCCATCTATGTGAGCGAATCTCTTGGATGCCATGACTTTGATCTCTTTAAGAAACTCATTCACCTTGATGTTACTATCCCTATATGCCAGCACTTTGCCCTACCTAGTTCCTACCCGAGATAGCTTGTTCAAGAGTCCTCTTTTTGACGACAATATTGTCCTCAAGATTTGGAACTTCAATAGGTAACCAAGATTCTTCAGTTCCATTACATTTAAAATGTTTTCGTTAACTAATGCCACACACCATCTGGCTGTGTACTTGGTATACACGGGTGTACAGTAGAAACACTGCATGTAAAGTTGTTTCCTTGTATACTTTCTAATTAGACTTTGCTTTGAGACAGTATGCAGGGGTGATTGGAGCATTCAATTGCCGAGGATCGGGTTGTGATCGGAAGGAGCAAAGGTTCAAGGCCTACAAGCAACATTACAAGGCTATAAAGGTTCAGTTCATGTAAACAACATAGAATGGGACCAAAAGTTGGAAGCACTAGAAGTGGGCTATGCTGAAGAATATGCAGTTTATCTTAGCTAAGGAAATTCTATATTTTTGATGAACCATGACTCTGATCCCATTGAACTTGACCTAAAATCATCTTCTTTTGAGCTTTATAGCTTTGTAACAATCAAGAAATACAAAGGTAATGTCAAATTTGCACCTGTTGGTCTGACAAATATGTACAACAGGAAGGAACAGGGTTTTTCTTGGCTTATTGAAATTCATGACCATATCAAGATCGAATTTGATGTGCTTTGGCTTTGATGAAATTGGGGGTGTCTCTACAGTGATTGTTCAATTTTTGATTTAGTTTATGATTTTGTAGACGATAATAATATTGTGCTTTCATGTTATAAAACTTTGTATGAGGTGGACTTATTGCAATAGTTCATCAAAAGATTGATGTTATACAAATACTTTATTTTCCTCGGAAAACCAATATTTTTTTTTTGAAACACCGATATTATTTCTTGATTCTTTTATCAGGGTCTATGGACACTAAATCAGATTCACATTGTTCTTAGATTTAGCATGACAAGCGCTATCGAAGATAAAACAAAACAAAACAAAAGTGATAGAATCATAAATGATAGTAACGAATATAACATTGCAACAAGACTCCGCAGTTGAAAATCATCGTGTTTACTCAAAAAATCATCCTATACACACTGCATTCAAGATCTAATTTGCTAATACTACGAAATACGATCCTAACCAAGACGTCCATCAGTATCATCATCGTGCAACCAATGCATAATCAAGCCATTAGTCTTCGACAATGCACGTTTAAACAACACACCCATAGACGCTTCACCTTTGATCATCTTTTGCTTTGAAGACGAAGCCTGCGATTCCTGTGAAATTACCCTTTCGACCTTATAAACAAGATGTTTACAGTATGAACCATTACCTTCAAATGCTTGGATCATCTCAAAGAACAAATCAGTTTTCATTTGAGACTCACTCAAATTACCTTTCAGCTTCAAATTCATCGAGATTGCATGAGAGTATTTCCGAAAATACCCTTTTACGAAATCCTCAAACCCTTTAGGAGGTGACCTAAGGATGCTAAGCATGGTCTTGTGTGTTAACACGAAATCTTTCTCGTCTTCTTTGTCATAAATCTTGGTGAACCTTAACTCATACCCTTGAATATACTCTAGTATATGGCATATATTCGACGTTTCCGGGTCCCACCAAAGCCTCGAACCAATGTTTTTGCTATTATTGTTAGACAACAAAGTAGGGTTCCAATCGAGAAGGTTTGGATTATGGTGTTGAAAGATTTGCGGAGGTTTCGAAGGGTAATCTTTAGGGAAGTAAATATCAAAGATGAACAAGCTGTAGGCGTAAGGACTACTCGGTAAGCCGACGATAACAGCCCTCATCAAATCCAATCTACTCTCATAAGACCTTACAAAGATCGACTTAGAGAGGTTTTTTTCGAGTACGTCTCGCTCTTGCTTTATCCTACGCATTAGTTGGACGTGTTCCTTCACTACTCTTCTTGAAGCATACAAGAATTGTCGGTCCAATGGCGGCCGCGAGTGTAAGATGAAGTGGTGATCAATGGGAGGGACGGAAGTGATGTCGAAATTCTTGAAGCTGTTGAACTTTATATCAACAGAGTCTAGAATTTCTTCAATCTCTGATCTTTTATGAAACGTTGTTGTTGATGATTCTTCTTCCATCTTGTGTTTCTTGGTAGTTTGTGTGTTAGATTATGAGCTTTGTTATGATCAGATGGGAATTTCTTAACTCTTTTATATAAGCATTGAAGAATTATAAGGAGTTGGTTATTTATTTTTCCAGGTTTGAATGTAATTATGATTTGGATAATTATGTACTTTGTATGTATTTATTAGGATAAATATGAATTTATTTTAGATTTTTCTTTAGAGGGTTGTTGAGAATCTCACAAAATCACAAATACTATCTCAATTTTCGAATCAAAGTAAAACTAACTTTTTTATCTAATCCCACAAAAAAACAAAAAAAAAAAAAGAAAAAAAAAAGAAAAAAAAAGAGAACCGTTATGATGAGCATGGTTACATAATTAATTGAGATTAGTGTAACCACTTGAATTGTTGAAAGGTTATAAATACGAAATGTAAAGGCGGGATCGAATTGAGTTGGGTAATGTATTTTATAAGTGTGAAACATAGACAACAAAATATAATCTTGACCATAAGAAAATAAATGCGGAGTATAGAGAAGATGAACACCGGATATTCATGGGCTTTTAGGGCTTAAGCTGAAATGACTTGCTAACTTCGGCTGTTTGAAGTGTTTTTAGAGAAGAAAATGGAAATTAAAAGAAAAGTTTTTTATTTTTGACAAAGAAAGAAAAGTTCTGAATAAGCGGTTAATTGTACTACGGTACTACCTGATCACAGAACAATAATTTACTCATTGAGTCGAATTGGGAATGATTGAGCAACCCGATTGGATACAAGTAGAAAGTCTTTCATTGTAAAACAATCATATATTCAGTTACATGAAATAGTTTAGGGAAAACCCAGGTAGTAAACAATGCATTAAGAATTTAAGATGAATACGACCACAAATGGGAGAGTTCACTTAAAAACGAAAACAATTATAAGTTTGATCTGTACAAAACGAAAACAATTATAAGTTTGATCTGTACAAGAACAACAAATAAAGCTAACAATAAAAGCGTAAAGTGGGAAAGCATGATGAAAAACACCCATTCACAAATGAATGTAGCAGAAATCAGGTTACACCGTTCTCAGATTACAGATATGAATCAGAATTTCAAAGTTATTCGTAATTTTTGTCCTAAGATCGACTAAAACAGAAGCCTCTATTGTGTGTCATTTCTTATTTTTCACGTAAGGGGCAAGGGAGCTCTTACAAGACTGCCCATACATATCAGATTTCAGCGGCCATAGTATTTCCCATGAATGTGCAAACACATTCAGAAGCCTGAAGTTTTCGAAGGACTAAAAGCTAACAGATATTATGAATGGGAAAATTGAAACAGAAAGTACTAGAAGTTTAAGATAGATGAGGGATCATACTGTATTAAAAAGATGGCTTCCAGTCAAGCGTTTGTCCGGCAAACATAGGGATAATTTCTCCGGAAGAGAAAGGTATATGGTCTGGGACTTTCCATGGTTCTTTTTTCAACTTGATCTTCGATGTATTCCTTGGAAGGCCGTAGAAATCAGGTCCATTGAAGCTTGTAAATGCCTCTAATTTGTCAAGGGCACCTGCCTGAAAAGATAAATGAAGCAGCAAATTAACTTCCAGCAATTGCTAATCAAACTACATACAAAAAAAGTAAACAATTTCCACATTATTGTGCTTCTAGTTCGAGACGACCCCAGATTGGATATGCAATTACCCATAGATTATATAAGGTGTTAAATGATTGTTTGCGTTCTTTGCAAGAGGAAGATTCCAGCACATAAGTTATGGGTGTTATATTAGCTATACCTCTTCAAAAACTTTGGCATATAGCGATAGAGCAACAGGGGAATTAAAGATTCCAGCACACCCACAGGAACTCTCTTTCCTTTGCCTCTCATGAGGAGCACTATCAGTCCCAAGAAAATATTGCTTACTCCCACTGGTTACTGCTGAAAGAATTGTCTGCCCTACACAAGCAATTAAAAGGTACAATCAGAGCATGCAGATAGCAAAAAAATGGACAAAAACTCATGTCAAGACATCACCGAGCGAATTTCATCGTACCTTCTTCTATAGTTGGAGCATATTAAGGTAAATAATCAACCTAAATTCTTTCACATACATAGTTTATAGGAAATATGGATGTTCATAATGCATATGAAACAACACATACTATGGATTTCTCTTTTGAGCACCGGAAGACAATAGTTATACATAGTTTATAGGAAATATGGATGTTCATAATGCATATGAAACAATACATACTATGGATTTCTCTTTTGAGCACCGGAAGACAATAGTTATGTGGTTGCAACCCTCCTTGGAAGAGGGAGTTTCTATTCAGAATGATGTGCTGTGGAGTCACGGTAGCTGCTACAGTCCCTGATTAGCATAGTGGAGCAAGATAATGGCAAATCAAATTGCAGACTGAAAGAAAATAAAATAAAATTGAATTGAATAACTGAAAAAATACCTAAGAGATAGACATTGTTAAAAAAAAAAACCATACTCCTACCTGTATTGCATGATTCAATAAATTTCACAGCATCTGCCGTAGTGATATGCTCCATTACAACTTTTAATTGTGGTAGTTTCTGAATTAAAGGTCTTAAAACCGTGTCGATAAAAACTTTTTCACGATCAAATATATCTACGTCAGGATCTGTAACCTCTCCATGGACCTAATACAAATTGCCATAGTTAATAAAGGACAGCTTCTACATTTTCACATGTGCAGAGTTAAAGAGATGATAAACTGTCATTCATTGTTGTACCATTAAAGTATAATTTGGTTAACCAAGTAGCATCAGAAAGTTCCAGGATTTTTAATGGTCTGGTTTTCATGTATTATGGGCTATAAGCCTATAATACAGAAAATCATTGAAAGCTCTCTTAAACTGGACAGTAACAAGCCTATTCAGATAGTCTCTTAAATAGACTTATACTGTCCAGAATTCCAGATCCCACAATTGTTGTTCCCTGAATAATTTGGCTTTAAAGTTTGACAGTTTCCCTAAATTCACTTTGATTCTATAAATCAACAACTATTATATATGATCTTTCAGGAAAACTTTTGTTAGCTCCCAACCTAAAACCTAAATCAATAATTTAACATTAACAATGAATTTCTTCATTTGCTTACTAAGCCACCCACCTATGATTCAAAGTTCGCCCCCAAAAATGATATGCCAGGGTCTTCTTTCCCATATTCGATTCCATACCCAAATTAAGAAACCAGGAAAAGGGGAGGCAGACGATGAACTGAGCACTACCCAATGGAATCTAGAGCATGATGTTGCAGTTGGGCCCTAATGTTTGTCATCATAGACTCCATAGCTTGATGTGGCATTATGAAGAGAGAGGAAACGAATAAAAGGTTTTATTAAGCTTTAACATTATAATTCTTTTACCTTACCAGTTCATTGAGGGGAAGTTAAAAATTTCACAATGGAATGGAAATTTTTGTTTCTCTCCACCAATTCATTTTAGTAGATTTTGTATTTTATAAAGACAACTTACCAATAGAGGCATATTTTGCTCAGCCATCTCTTGGAGCACTGGCAAACACTTTCCAAACAGATCAGTGACACCATCCTGTGAATTAGTTGTTGCGCCAGCAGGGTATAGCTTTACAGCATAAACCACCTCACTTTCTCCTGTTAGAAGAATCAGCCACTGCTAATCAAAAAACAGAATTGCATTCAACAATCTGAGTCTCCTGTCAAAGACTCTAGCTAAGGATAGTAACAGTAATTGCAAAAACACAATCCTACACTCCCATGACTCTACACCAAGAACCCAATCTGATAAATAAGAAATGCTCAATCATGAAATGAGAACAATGAAAATATGGGCATGTGTTAGAATCCAACCAACACTTGGACCGTGAATATATGGAAAGGGAAAGAAAATCCATAGGAAATTAAGGAGTACTGAGTGAACAAGAAATTTCATGTAATGCATGATGCAACAGCATGGCGTTAAGTAATGAACGGGTTGCTTTGGATTTGGTAACCCAATGAAGGAAACCCAACAACTAGATAAGACCCCAGATGCCAAATTGGTGATTGGAACCATCTTTCACTATTCTTGACTACGATGTAACTAAATTTTAAAATAGCCATATAATTGAAGTAAAGTCATTTTTGGGACTTTACAAAACCTATTAGTAGGCCTTGTATGGTTCCAAACAACCTTTTATAACCTCAGGAGACACCCCATACATTCCCTCCAATTTTGGAAAAAAAATTACGGACATTTGTAAAAAAAAAAAAAAAAAAAAAAAAAAAAAAAGGCATGGATTATAGCCTTCAATTTTGAAGATTTTTGACTTTTCTAGACCCGGAAAGGAAAGAAGTTGGTTGCTTTCCATGGACCCCATGAGACCCTAAGTGGTCATTTGGGCCGTTGGAATCATCCACTTTGCCTTCATTAACTCAATTGTTGCTATACATTTCAAACAACATTATACGTCCCATATGCCTCCCTTACCATCAATTGATTTTTCGACACTTGGTTCTGAAATCTTCGAAAATGATCCCATTTCATGTATACCCTTTAAATTTGGTCTCCGAAGAACATTTTTAGACCGACAAGTTTATGCATCATGGTGCATCCTAGGATTCCTAAAGGTTCCCGAGAGACCTACTTGGAGCCCATAACCATTTTATCAAGCCTTGATCCACCTGTCAATATCATGTCTTAAAATGCCTTGTCTAGCCTTGCTTTGGCCTTGTGTTGCCTTCCCTTGCCAAGCCAAATATAGGAGTTTTATATGCCTTATCCTTGTGCTCATACCTTTGCCTAGGTCATGATGTGCCTTAACTTGGCAGCAACGCCCTAACCCCTATGCCTTTGCATGCCTAGGCTTTGATGTGCCTTCGAAGGAGATACTAAACAAGGGGAAAAATTAATCATTATATGCCAAACTAGAATACAAAAAGACTTCTTTTGATTAATCAACATAATAGTAAGTAATGAATGGGTGGTTTAGGTTTTGATAATCCAATGAAGGATCAGTGACACCTCAATAGGACCCCATATTGGTAAGTTGGTTATTGGAACCATTACATGTAGCTCTTTACCTCTAAATGTAACAAAATTTCAAAATAGCTATATAATAGAAGCAAACTTTTTTTCGGGACTATAAACCTATTAATAGACCATTATGGTTTCAGACCAACTTTTATGACCACGGGGGACAACAAATTTACCTATTATACCTTTAGTTTTGGACATTTTCCAACTTTTTTGAAAGAAAAGAGGTCCGGTTGCTTTCCACATACCCCACGAGACCTCGGGAGGCCATTTGGGAGGGTAGAACCATCCACTTTGCCTTTGAATTGTTAATTAAGCCAATTACATACATGCTTCCCTCCATTAACTCAAGGCCACCACGAGTCTTTATGTGACCAACTAGTGGTTGCATATGGTTTCAAACAACATTATATAACCTCGGATGTCTCCTACTCTCCCATACCATCACTTGAGTTTTTGAGGAAACCCGAAATCTTTAAATATTTCCCGTTTTCTTGTATTGCTCCAAATAACATCTTTGGACCCAACAAGATTATGAATCAAGATGCCTAAGAGCCTCAAGAGGCCTACTTGGTGCATGGAACAATCTCATTATGTATTTGTCCACCCCTCATCATCATGTCTTAAGATGTCTTGCCTTGCCTTGGTTTGGCCTTCGCCCTAAGGTAAAACCTAGACACTACCTTTAAGTGCCACAAAATGGTGGTTTTTTTTTAAGGATTAGGTATTTTTATGCCTTGTCGTCATGCTCATACCGGCGTACCCCTTGCTTAGGCCATGGTATGCCTAGACTGGTAGCAACGCCCTAGCCCCCATGCCTTAGCGTGGCAGCTACGCCTACTCGCTTAGGTCTTGGCTGGGAGCACATGTGCATGGCAGCGACGGAGATACTAAACGAGGAAAAAACATATTATGCCAAACTAGAAAAAGGCTATGCAAAAAAAAAAAAAAAACACTTCTTTGATTAAATCAACAACGTAATAGTAAGTAATGAATGGGTGACATTGGGTTTGTTAACCTAATGAATAATTCCTGATAGCTCACTAGGACCCTTAAGATATCATGTTGGTGATTGGAACCATTTCTTACAAGTTTTGACTACCAACACAACAAAATTTCAAAATAGCCATATAGTTGGAGCAAATTCCTTTTAAGGACTTTAAAGACCTATTGGTAGGATTTTTATGGTTTCAAACCAACTTTTACAACCTCAGGGAACACCCCGCACATTCAGTTTAATTTTGAAAAAATATCTCGAAATTGGTCCAAAAGCGTGGATTATAGCCTTCATTTTTGGACAATTTTCAACCTTTTTGGACCCAGATTGGGGTGCTTCCCATAAACCCCACTCGACCCTGGGAGGCCATGTGAATGCTTGGAACCATCCACTTTGCTTTTAAACTGTTAATTTAGCTAATAACGTATACACCTCTCTTCATTAACTTAAGGTAACCACGTACGTGCCTTTATGTGACCGATAAGTGGCTTTATCTAGTTCCAAATAACATAATATGACCCCAGATGCCTCCCCTACCATTAATTGTGTTTTCGACACTAGGTTCCATAATCTCTAATTCATTTTTCCGTATTATGTCCTTTAAATTTGGCCACCTAAGAAAATTTAGCATTCAACAAGGTTATGCATCGAGTCACTTCCTGTGGTTCCAAAGGGCCTTACGAGGTCTACTTGCTGCCCGGAACCATCTCTTCATGCCTTGGCCCACCCCGCGTTAATCGATATCATGTCTTAAGATGCCTTGTGTAATTGTGTTGCCTTGATTTGGCTTTGTGTTGCTTGCCTTGCCCTTGGCCTTGCGTAGTCTTGCCTTTGGCCTAAGGCAAGCCAAGACGCTACCCTCAATTGCCAGAAATAGGAGGGCCATTGCCCTTGCTTAGGCCATGGCATGCCATGACTTGGGCAGCAGCCCTCATGCCTTGGTGTGCCTTGGCTTGGGAAGTAGCAGCAGCGCCTAGGCCTTGGTGCCTTGGCTGGGCAGTGCCTGCAGCATCAGACCTGGCATGGGCAGTGAGGAGAACTATATGTGGGGGAAAAACATTTATGCCAAACTAGAAAAAGTCTCTGCAAAAAGACTTGGATTAAATTCAAAGCTGGTGTTTCTCTCCCATTCCTCCCCCGAACCCCCCCCCCCCCCAAAAAAAAAAAAAAAGAAAAAGAAGTAAAGCAAGTACACACACAGGCATATTCTGACATAAGGTTCTTTTGCAATACACTGATAACAAATCACAATCAGCTATAGGATTTAGGAAGTTGCAATCTGAACAACATTTTAAAGCTCAAAGTAAAATTCTGAACTTACTGGCAAACTTTATCTCATTAGGGCTGGTTTTATCAGTTAAATACAGTGTCATAAGAGGATTGAAGTCGCTATCAGCAGGAAGTACATCCATAATAGACTCTCGGTATGCAACAGCAGCAGCTGTAGTAGTAATAGGAGGCCTTAGATTAGGCATAACAATTGCCCTTCCAAAATGTCTTGCACTGAATTTCAAAAGGATACAGCACACTTTACAACAATCCTCAGAAATACGATACCAAAAAAAAACATACTTTTGTCTTAAGACTTACCTATATGGAGCAACCGCGACAAGAAGATCTCCATCACGGAGATGAAGATGCCAATCATCAGGGCGTGTCAGAGTCAGTTCCATCTTTACTGCTTTGACATTTATATTGTTAAACCTTTTAATCCTTGGAATAGGCAAAATTGATACCTAAACAGAACAAAGATTCATAAGATTTGTTAGCAAAAAATTTAAAACACAATGAGGACAAGAATTTCAAGATCAATAATAAGATGCTGGATGGGTTAGGTCTCAATGATTAAGAACATGCGTCTTTGACAGATTTAAGACAAGCATTGACTTGTTTTACCACATATGAAGCAGCAGTGATCATATGCCATTGACATTTTAGCACAAGAAATAGAACACAAGTTCAAGACTTTGAAGGTTTTCTCAGTTGGCCTGCCAACTAAATTACTTTATGAACACTGTCTAATTACTAGTTTTGAAATGCTAAGATGATTTCTTTAACTTACACGAAAACTACAACACTTTGACCCATGAGTAACAAATAATGTAAGTTATCTGTTCCTCTGGATTCCACATCTTTGAACAGTCGTTAGACAATACTAAGGTTCCAGAAGACAGACGTATAGTATAATCGTCTACTTTAATACGCAATACAGTATAGGGCGACAAATAAATTGATAACATAATATTGAATGGAAACAATTTAGTTCTAAAAAACCAACCAAAAGCACAAATTGTTTTAAAAATTTGATCAAAACACTTCAGTTGTGTACACAATATCCTTCTCAAGAATACCGATTCATTTATGTACACAATATCCTTCTCAAGAACACTGACTACACAATAAGCACAATATGGGAACTCAATAACAATAATGCTTACATTGTATGATAAGAGTGATGTGTTTATCATCTGGACAAGCCTGCAAAGAGCACTGCATACAACCTAACAACCCCCAACACCAGAAAGAGTAGATTAGCTAAACAAGTTCAATATCTTTACTGTAAGAAATTTCATTACATTCTTTTTTTTTTTGAAACCTAAATTTCATTACATTCTAAATAAAACCTAAAGGTCAAATGAACTTATCAAGCAAAATTAACTAGCAATTCGTATAAAATAATCCAATGTAAATGCCATTTGTAAATTCAAGACTGATATAACAACTTCCATTATCTCAAATTCTTGTCATTTACTTTCATCTCAAAAACAATTAAACATAACCGAGTAATCCCTACTAATTACATCCGGATTTAGTTGTCACATTTCTAGTTCAAATTACGCACTCAACGTGATTTGCAACTATCAATGTATACAGATTAGAGACATATCCACAGAGAATAATAAAATAAAATAAAATTAAAATCAGTAAAGCTGACAAATTTATTCAGAAATCATATTACGCAATCTCCAATTTCAAAAACCCAATACCCTAACTTAGACAACTGAGGTTTCTACTACTAATAATCAACAAATACACAAACTTTATTCATTTGTAAATGAAATTAAACCCGAAAAAAAAAAAGGGGGGGGGGGGGGATTAAAAATTTAACCTCTTAGTTGCTGAATTTGTAATTAAGAATAGCTCTTAGTTGCTGAATCTGTGTTCTGTAACAGGGGAAGCTCCAAAATGTGTAAAGCTTGAAGAATGTAACAAGTGTAGGTTGAGAGAGAAGAACCAGAGAGAACACTAGTACTGGAAATCTGGAATACTGGTAGTATAGACGATGATATTTGCCAAAATTAAGGGTTTAATGCGGTTCAGGCAAAAAAATTGTGTAAACGCTAGAAGGAGGGGTCGAACCTCCGACCTTGTGGTTAACAGCCACACGCTCTAACCAACTGAGCTATTCCAGCTTTCTGATATACTAAAACACTGAAAATCTAACCAATTGCTTTTTGTTAGCCATCTGTGATGGAGAGTCCAGCTGTTCTTCATGCCTTTCTTTGACTGATAGCTAAGGTCGCCTTGTTCCTTGTAAGAGTTGCTTTTGATTTTGGGGTTTCGTTTGCTTCTGATTAACTTGGTTTGGTTTTGGGAGGCTTTTGGCTGGATGATGAGGTCTGGAAGGGAATTGTTTTTGTCTAAGAATGGCTGGTATGTTTTTCCCTGCACCTTTTGTATTTCTGGTTTCAAACTGTCGGTTAGGATGTTTTATTTTTGATTATTTGGTTGTATAGATAAGCTACTTTGGAGTGTAATTTGTTGGTCTGGATTGCTATATTACATTTCAGGTTAGGTTTGGTGCTTCCTTTTTTTAATTAGGAGGTTAGGATTATAATTAGTGTTGGATGGTTCTTGGATTGGAGTAGCTTACTTCAATGTCCTTTTACAGGAATAAAAAAAGACTTGCGGGTGACTTTGTTGTACTTAGTTGTTTCTAGGGTTGCCAATGGGGGTGCACTTGTTTCCCATAGTCTATATATAGAGTGAGAGGGTGTCCATTTTTTGGATAAATAGCAAACCATTCATGCCCAGTGACAATTTCTTTCTGGTTGTGGATGATCTGAGCTTCCTGTGCAGAGGTATTCGTTTGAGAGGTAGTACTTTGTTTTAGATGACATTATGTTGCCTATTGTACGATCTTGCTTTGTACATATGTATTCTGGACTACATATTTCGGATTCCCTGACAAATCGAACCTTCAATTATTAATATTTTACTATTTATTGTAATACAATTACCACTAATGAATATGTTATTCTATATTGTAATACAAGTATTGTTACATTGCCTTTATAGATGTGTTTTTGGTGATGAATGTTCATGATAATGGTTTGGGTTGTGTTTTTGTGTGTGATTATGCTTTTGTGAGTTTAGATTGAGTGATTACAATTGTGTTGCACAGTGTAGAAATTTCTGATAACATTTAGTGGTTTAATTTGACTTGGCGAATTGCCTTTATAAAATTTCAAATTGTTGTAATAATGGGAAAACCAACAAATAAAAAGATGGATTTATATGTTCTTAATTCAGTTCTTTTTTGGGGTTACAGGTTCACTGATAGCATTGTCTGTGGTGTTGCTGTTAGAGCTTTGTTTGTTTTGTTGAGCTTAGAAGACCTGTTAAGGTAATTCCTATGACTTCTTCTGTGTACTGGGTGTTGTGTAGTAATTACCATGCTTTTACGATGCTGCTAATTAGAGTTTATGATGCCTTGTTATATGCAAGTATCTTGATTTTTATGTACATAGTAGTGATTATATAGTTGAACTGGTGGCTATATAATTGAATCTTAGCCAGTTTCTTCTTTGTTCGAAAAGAGCTACTCCGACTCGACAGTAAAGCAAAGATTTAAGGCCTTCTTTGCTCTGCCTCTAGGAGCGAATGGATCTAACTTTCACTCAAGAGTTTAAATGTCAGTGTTATATTTTCTTTTGTGATTAGGTTTTCTTTTTAAAAGAATTTTATTACAGCTTTTGTTGCTAGCTTGCTGTAGATAGGGTTTAGTGGTGTTGTTTGGGAGAGAAAACCCTGTACTATTCTAAATACTTTTTGTCCTGAACATCAATTTTGCTATTACAGGTTATGGCTAGACGACCAAACAAAGTCTTTGTTCCTTTTCAGCCTCTTTTGGAAAAGGTCGTTGCTTAGCTACAGTTTCCATCTCCAGTTTATGGATTCATAGATACTGCTAAGAACAATGTCTTTGTATGGGTTATGTTAGTTAGAAGTTGTGGATAAATGGTCAGTCCAAGACCTTTATTTTGTTCATTTCTTCACGTCTTTAAGCAAGAGTATTAAGCCATATTAAACCGACCATTATCATGTTGATTGAAAGATAAGTCAAATTTAGTATAAGCTTCATAGAAACCATAGCTTGCTAATTGGAAATTAACACGTTATAATTATTCTTCATGTAATTGACCACTTCTTAAAAGTCAGTGTGTTGGATTGATGTACTATTTGACAACTATGCCTAAAGTCCTTTTAGCTAGGAATCCAGGGTACTTGTTTAGTTAATTAGATGTTGAAATGGTAGTTGCAAGGTTTATCCACATCCACGTCCACATCCACATCCACATCCACATCCACATCCACATCCACATCCACATGTTATCTTCTAATAAGCCTTAAAGAGAGGATGCAAGAAAGGTATGTCTTATGTATAAATATGTATTATTGGTTTATTAGGTCGCTTTCATCATCATGGACTTGATGAGAAGTTGAGAGTAATTAAGTCGGTTAGCATATTCGGAATTTGAAAATATGCTTTATGGCACTGTGGCCTTGTGGGTTGGGATAAGTAAGTTCCGAAAAACAACCTTCTATAATCTGATCCGAGCAAGTGTACAAATATTAATTAGATCATGGAATAGATAAAAATAACATAAATACTTAATATTGTAATTTTTTGAATTTTCGTGATGTCTAAGGACAGGATGCTACAACTTGCATATATATAATAATAATAATAATAATAATATATAGTACTTGTAAATAGTTTATAACCCTACTTTTATCAAAGTTGTTGGCTCAAAGGAGCATGGGAAACGGCTAATGGTTGTAAGCTAGCAATCTCTGGAGTCTTCATCTGTTAACATAGGACCCTCCATTCTACATTTCTATGCTCTTTCTATCATGGATCTTCCTTTAGCACAAAGACATTATACATTAATTGCAGTATGGTTCAATGACATCCTAAACTCCTAAAGTTAAGGCTTTGACTCTTTGAGTGCTTAGTTTATATTTAAAAGATTGTTGGGGTCCCTGAAAATTCTAGCTGTAGATCCCTCTCGGAACATACAAGTATATTTCGGCAAGAATTATCTTTTCGGAACTAATTTGGACCACAAATTCACATTTTATTAGTGTCACTTTACTAGTTCAAATTACATTATTAACGTGACTTGACACTTATTAATTCCGGAAATAGGAAGTAGAACACAATTTAACATCTAAGAACTACGATAAATAATATTTTCATTGCAAGTTCTACTCCTACTTAAGACTATTATTTCATGAATATTGCTATATGTAACCATTTGGAGATTCAAGCATTATAAGGAAAACACTTTGGCCTGAAAGATTTACTTGTAGTTTTTTGATATTGACATTTTTATGAGTTTGGAGTGATACAAACTGAAATTGGATGTAAAGTTTCAAACTAAAATCAAAACTTGAAATTTAGATCAATCAATAGGTAACTAATAATTTATGCAATGTCAAAAATATATATGATACAATAAATATTCCCTTTTCATATATTTTTTTTTCCATACAATTTTTTTTTTAAAAAAAAGTCAAAAATTACAATCTTCACTCATGAAACATAAACAAAACCAAATTACAAAAACCAAAAAGAATTATTAATACAGTTTTTCATCAATATTGAACAATGACTTCAGAAACACCATCAGCCTCTTCAATCCATGACAAATCAAACACCAACTTGTTTTGATCATTAGACCATTCAAATGCCACTTCCTCACCATTCACAATGCACTTCTTTGGTTCCTCATTTGAATAGGCCAACAAACACCCTCCTCCTTTGATCTTCATCTTAGCACTCGAGTCCATAAACTCGAGTTCTTGGATCGTACCTCCACTATTGAACATGTTGGTTAGACCAATTGCCGCGAATTTGACATCTTGTCCTAGCACCTTGACCGGGACAAAGCTGAAAATTTCGAAAGATGAGGGGTCCAACACGACATGGATTGGGTCGGATTCGAGAGTCACCAAGTGGAGTGAGTCTTCTTGGTTAAGGTACACAACATACTCTTCAGCAAACCCCATTTCTAGACCTTCCAATGTTTGGTCCCATTCTATATCCTTCACATGTACTGCACCTTCCATAGTTTTGTAACATTCCTTGTACCCCTTTATCCTTCTTTCCTGCCTGTCCCACCCTGCTCCTTGGCAGTTAAATGCTCCAATAACAGCTCCATACTGCATAAAAATTACACCCAAGTTAGCCCAAAATCTTTAACTCAATCGTATAAAAAAAAGTGTAACATTTAATATGAAACTGGTAAGATTTTATATGACTAGACCTGATAAATCTCACTCATACCTTATAACATAGTACAACCCCGATAACCCAATTATAAAAATTTAAAAAAAAAATTAAAAAATGCTATACATACCTTATTGAAGTTCCATATCTTAAGAATAGATTCTTGATCAAAGAGAGGGTTCTTGAACAGAACATCCCTAGTTGGCAGAGCAAAGTTTTGACATTTGGGGATGGTTCCATCAGGATGAACCAACTTCTTTAGGAGATCAAAGTCATGACCTCCTAGCGAGTCGCTAACATAGATCGGTCCACCACAGATGGCGCGAGAGCCAGCATGGAACTTAGCACAGACGTGATCACTTTGGAACATGTCCCAATCAGGGTGGAATATCTGACCCATCCATAAGCTGTTATATGAGCAATGGATCATATGTACACCTTGTAGCCAAAACACCCCATTTGGGTCTCCATTTGGATCTTGGAACCAAAAATCATCACCTATATCGATTTTGTCAACATCATACATCATTAAGACCGTCCAAGTTAGTACAAATAAAAGAATCACTAGGATATGTTTCAGAAATATAATTTTTTTTCTTGATAAGCGTCAATAAGTTCAAATAAATTATAATAATAAGTTCATATGAGGTCAGATAAGTGGTGAGAAAAAAATTAGAAGTATAGAGTATTGATTAATCTAGTGGCCCACTATCTACAACATCTTTCTCCTGTTGGTTTGCAATTCCCACGCACCAAACTCCGTAGTTTTCCTTCTTTAAAATAAATTTCAATGATGTCTACTTTTTGGCAGAAAGAAAACAACCCCTTCTGTTAATGAAATTCCTGTTCGTCAATTACAAAAAGAGGCAAAAGTTTAAAGAAATTGAATGGGTAATACAAGAAATCATGAAAAGTTTAATGATTAGTGTTTTAAATTAAGAAAACCATCGCTTATTGACGAAAGACCGATCGGGAATGACGACTTGGTAAATTGAAAAAGATGGGTATTGTATCAGCTTTAGGACTTAGGTGTCTATATAACTTAGAAAGCTTAGGTTGAATTTCTCTAGATTATTCCGAAGATAAGACTCAATTCAAATTGAGGTTGTTGCTAGCTCTTATCGAAAATGTCAATTTAATATATGTTTTTTTTTTTTTTTTTTTTTTTTCATTCAGTTTTCAAAATCACTTTATGGAAATTATCCAAAATCATTTTTTTTTTTAAAAAAAAATTCAAAAATAGAAAATAATAATAATTACAAAATTAATTAAATTTGAAAATAATTATAAAAAAATGAATACTAGAAATTCAATTACTCAAAAAAAATTTGAATTTAATTAGATGAAAAGACGAAGCCATGTTCATACCGACTCTTCCCATGGATATTTGTTTGGTTCCAAGCAATAGGAAGTCATTGCATTGCTCCATGCTAGATAAAAGGTTGGTACCATTGAAGTTCTTCTCCAAAGATTTGGACAGTCCATCATAATATTTCTTTGCAAGCTCTACTCTACCTCCAAATTGCTCAGATACATATTCAAGTGTCTACAAAAATATCAAAGCAAATTAACGAACGTTAAAAAGTGAAATTCTAAGAACATTATGAAACAGAGGTATAAATATATGTTGTATAGCTCTATGTAAAATTAGAGAAAAATACAATTAGTAAAATACTTACCTGAATAACATCAACTTTAACACCAGTAATTCCAACACTAGCAAGGTAGGAATGCATAGAATCATATAACTCAGCAGCTTGATCAGGATGAACAAGTCCAATTCCACCTTCAACAATTTTATCAACAGCAAGATCATCCATTGTTCCAGCTAAACTAGGTGACAATTTACAAGGTATTACACTTGCATTAAGATGTGTTGTTTCAGGCCGAACACCGCCCCAAGCGCCACAAAGAGCATGCCATACCCAAATATCATCCAATCCTTTAAACTTAGTCCTAAGATCCTTAGTAAAAGCCTTCATACCATATTCCTCAACTTCATCACTACTACTATTATGATCACTTGCTTCATTTTCGTGTTTGTTTTCGTTTTCTCCTCCCATCAACTCATCTAGCTCTTGCTTTAACATTTGAATCTTGTCGTCGAGGGTAGACAAATCGGTGTCACCTGATTGAATAGCCCTCTTACGATCCTTCTCAGCATGCTCGATTTCGATAGCTTTCGAGATGATCATTTTAGGCTTCATAGGGTTGTAAGGGGGAGAATTAGGCCCTAACAACAAACCACCTTTATATTTCCTAAACTTTTCTCCTTCTTCAAACCTATGAAGTCTTGCAGTCATTTGCTCCCCACCAAGAACAAGACTCTTCCTATCTTCATCTAAGTCATCATCCTCATCACAATTAACACTTTGCCACCCATCATCAATGATCAAAAACCGAACCGAAAGACCGGCTTTAGAAAACTCATCCACTCCATGAAACACACCCTTAGGCTCAACAGACAAGTAAAAAGCATCCCAAGTACACCAACCAAACTTATCCAAAATACTAGGGGTACCCTTCTCTTCTAAGACCTTAAATGTGTTAAGGTGTACCCTTATAGCACTAAAAGCCTCTTTCATTATATTATAAGGGTTGTCACAAACATGAACATAAGCTATGGCCTTAAAGGTTGATTCCCTAACCTTACTCGAACCGCTTTCGGCACAAAGCATCACATGACCATCATCCCCAGGGTTAAGGGCAGCCCTAAAACCACCCTCAATCAAAGGCACAATGAGAGCATATGCCTTAACCTCGGGTATTTCGAGCAACATCCACTGAGTCTCCATTTGTAAATCAGACCCACATTTTCCTACCCATTGAGTAGACCACCATGTCTTGAACCTAAATATGCTTAGGAAACTCCTGTCATGAAATTTTCCTAGGGAGTTTATCATCCTATCAGCGGGTTCTTCGACATCAAACCCGAAGAACCCGCCTCGATGAGAGGTGGATTGTACACGTTGAAGGAGAGGAAAAGGAGCATCTGATTCAGAGTAGTTACAGATTGAGTTGAACTCAGTGAAGGAGACATTGCTAGGGATTTCAGACAGCAAGGTTACACCTTTTACACTGAATTTTCCATCATCAGATAAACTGAAATATTGGTCTAAAGAATCAGCTCTAGTTAGGCTGAATTTGGGTACAATTGGGTTATTTGGAGGAGCCATAAATAATGAGGAAAACAGGGGAAAACAGAGGAATAAATAAAATTGTGCGAATTATGTATTATCCGTTCTTTTATAATCGCAACGCTAGAAAATGGGTTAATTTAAGAATATAATTGTATTTATATACAATTACTATAAAATTTGAGCTGGTAAGCAAGAATTTTTGTAGTAACAAAGAGGCAAAATTGGAAGAGAGAGAAAAAATGAATTGGAATTCTGTGCTGATTAAGTGACAGCTAATGCAATGTATAAATAGATGATATTGTGTAGGACCCATTTCTGGAAAGTAACCGGATATTTAACTCAAATTAATTGGATTCAAAGAATAAGTATTTTCTAGATCATATTTATTTATTCAGAGAAATTGGTTCAATATTTTAGTTTTTTATTGGTTCTTTTTTTGTAGGAAAATTCTGTAGATGTGACATGATTCAAATGAATCAGGCCTCAGGGGAGCATAGTAGTATAGTACTGTGGCATCATCACAAATTCACAATTCATATTTTTATTTACTCGCAGTACTACATTACTACGAGTACTATGATTTTATCAAGTATTTAGACTGACATATACGGAGTATATAATAATTGTACGTTTTTTTTTTTCTTTGAATTGCAATAGTTTGACGTATGTATGTATTATGTATAAACGAAGTATACACTGAAATAAAGAATGTAAAACCGTATTATGCATTACTTTTTTTTTAAGTGTAAGATATGTAATATATGAGTATGTTATTTAATTATCCTCAAATTATATTTTCATACTAACAACTTTTATTAATTTTATTAGTAGATATATAACATTGTAGATGTTAATGAAAATGGTCAAAGTCAATAATTAACATTAACGTAAGAAATCGAAGAAAGTATGCCTATGTCAATGATCGTGTCCATGCATGGATAGATGTTTACAGCATAGGGGGTATAAGGCAAAAAAGATGAGAATATGAAGAAGACTATATCTTTTGATGTGAGAGAAAGACACTTGTCAATTGGCATGCATGAAAAGATTATAATAATATAATATAAATAATTAAAAAGAGATTAGCAAGTAATTAAAATTAGCTTCCCAAGATTCAAAGACGTAGGGATAATTAACTTCCTTGCATGAGAAGACAAAAAACTATTCATGCCGCCAAGAGTTAGATAGTTTTCGATAATGCTAATATTGGCTAGCTAGTTAGTGATTTTGTACACGTTTTCTTTTTAATGTACGATGTAGACAAGTTTTAATTTCATAATAAAAATGGTAATAGTAATATGATTAATGTTTATCTTTTATTGTTGTGAGTTTTGAGTTTTCAATCTTGTCTTTAAATCTAATAATGAAAATTAAAAGCTACATTATCATTCAATTTATGATAAAATTAGTAACTAACTACTATGTTGACAATTTATGATCAAATTAGTATATCTAACTTCATTAACTAATTTATGTTCATCTGATTAGTTGATCATACAAACTAAAGGTAATTAAGAGGTGTATTTTCGATCATTCAATAATAAATTTCTTACGAATTGAGGTTAACAAGTTATTTGTCTCCAAAATCAACATCTTTTTGTAAGGTTTTCAAAGAAGTGAAGTTTTATATATAGTCCCATGACTCCCATCTCTAATTGTAAAGATATGTATTTAATTCTTAGCATCCTCTTGATATTCCATTTTATTTTGACACTATTTACATAAAAAAAAAATCTTACAACAATGAACTGAGGGACTATAATTTATACTTATTAACCGAAGCAAATGTAATACGTAGTACATGAAAATACTTACTACTTGTACTACAATGTTTGGAATATTAATTTAATTAAATAACATTATATATTTAATCAAATATGTACTAGAATGTACTAGAATGTTCATTCTCACTTCTCACTAGAATTACAAGACACGTATGTTTCAATATAATTTTTTTTTAAGTATCTAATCCAATCTTAATTAGGACGGCAAGAAAACAACATAAAACAAAAACAAGAAAATAAAAGGGTGTTTATTCTTTTTATGAATAAAAGTAGTTAAAATGTGACAAAAAGAAATGTTCTTTCATCAATAATCTTAACAAATATTTTGGCAAATTTGGTCAATAATTTACCTACCATTCTACCAAAGTAATCAAAATAAACATTTTCAGTTAGCCCCTCTGAATTAATAGGTTTTCCCTTACCCCTCATCTTGATAGAAGCCACATATGCACGTTAAGTGGTATTATATTACAACTTCTAAGTAGAAATATTAAGCTAAGTACTCATGTAATAAACAAGTTTGATGATTATCAATGACTTGAAGTATCTAAATTCATCATAAAATTCTAACAGAAATTGTTAATTACTTTTATATATATGTCATGCTCATATTATTAAGGAAACGTATATTACAATAACAGTATCATCAATATGTTTCATAAGCTATTACGGAGTAGTATAAAATTAGTCCACGATTAATACAAATTGGCTAGTTTATGTACAATAACTTATATCATTTAAAACATTTGTATATGTAAGTAGTATAATACTATGTATAAGAATTTTCATATTCTTTAATTAATTAGTAATGGCAGGCCACAAACATTCTAGATATGCAAGTTGAGTTTCAAGTACAGCATACATGATGTATATGGATGTGCAAACACGGGCCACCATATAAATCTGTCTCTCGTAGCTCTTGCATTCCAACCATTTTCATCTTTAGAATGTAATTAATTAATTTTAATTAAGTATTAAGCAAAGTTTAATTTTAATATTGGAGGTTGGAAGGAAGTAGATCATATAGATTTATCTGGAACATTTGGGTTGGCCAATGAAAAAGCTAGAATATAAAATTGTTTCTCTTATTAATATTACTTTATTTGAATAATATATACTGTAGTTTCTTTTTTCTTTTCCATGAAGCAAAAGTTGCACCAACTTATGTTTGATTATGGAAAATGTTTTAACAATTATTTTAGGTAATGAGTAATACTTTTGACTAAGAATTAAGATCTGAGTTTAATTACACTATCTTCACAAATAATAATTTGTATTCGTATATTACTAATATAAGTACTAAAATAAAAATTAAAAAAAAAATAAAAAAAAAAAGGACATTATGATAAAACTATGGAAATGCTTAAGGTGATGAATAATGTTGTTAAAAGAAATACTCCATAAGAGTTTTATTTGCATATTTATGCTTGTAATAAATTCTTGAAAAACATTGTTGGTGGTCTTTTTATCCTTTTTGTTAAAATTGAAAAATAAATAACCCCGATTAATGGATTTCTAGAAGGAGTCCCCATTAATCAAGTTGATTTACAAACTTCGTAAATCAGCCACTGTTATTTTTGTAAAATATATATATATATATATATATATATATATATATATATATATATATATATATATAATGGAAAGAAAAGCAGATAAAATGACAAAACTTCCCCCTATTTATTGGATGAAATGACAAAAATTCCCCTCACTTATTTGATAACCCTAATACCCCTTAATTTACAAAATTTGTATATTCAACTTATAAACTTGAATTTCCTCTAAGTTTTGTTTTCGATTTCTGTTATTGTTTCTATTTTCTAAGACATATTATTTAAAACTTAATAAGATGGCTAGAAGGTGGTCCTTGGGCTAGCCAGGTCTGAAACCAAAAATTTGGGCCAGCCTAAAATAAGAATTGATCAAACTTATCGATCATTTGCTATCACAAAGGCCCAATTGTGCAGATAAGTGGTATACTTTCAAATCTTCAGTGTCAATAGCTCAATAAATTTTCAAAAAAGTAATGCCATGTCAGCAATTATACTCACACGTGATCCGCTTTCATCAATACTTCCTCCGTTTATTTTTTGTTGCAACGTTATAATTTTAACTCTAATTCAGTGTCAATAGCTGAATAATTGTCTTTGATGATTAAGTGAAATTTTAGTCTTGTATGTGAAAACCTGCTAGATCCGTCTCAATGTATACTTTTAAAATATATTTTTATAAATTTTAAGGAAATTCTCAATGGTGACCCCAAAGTTTTGTTACGCACCAATAATGACCTTCCTTTTTTTTTATTATACAAAATGACCCTAATTAAGAAATTTATCTCACTTATGACATTAATGAGTGTTATTTAGTTAAAGATAAAAAACTAACTATGGTTAGCTTTGAAAAAAAAAAATAAACTAAAATGAAAAACCACCAACCCAACCACCACCTCCACCCTCATCCCCACTAATTGTAGCCAGCACCACCTTCACCCTCACTGGAGCCAGCGAACCCCCTCATTTGAAACGCCGACCACCCAAACCACTGAACCATCGCCTCCACCCTTTCCTCCACCTAGAACCAAACCCGAACCCTAACCTCACAACTCTCTATCCTCTGACCTTCGATTCTCGCCCCTTCGCCATGGGGTTGGTTTTCGTCGAGGAGGGGTGGTGGGTTTAGGGTTTGAGGTTTCGATTATGGGCCGGGATCGGAGAAGGCGGAAGATAAAGAGAGAGAGAGTGGAGGAGAGGGCGGAGAAGAAAGAAAGAGAGATCGATGGTCGGTTCTGGGTAATTTGGTGGTCTGGGGGTGGTCGTGGTTTGGTTTCAACGGTCTAGGGGTGGTCGAAGTTCTGAGTTCAGTGATCTAGTGGTGGTGACGGTGAGAAGGAGGAGAGAGAGGGAGGGTTGTGGGCGGGGATTTGGGAATCTGACTTGGCGGTGGTCGAGGTGGAGCTGGCGCAGCGTCGCCGGCTCTGGGGAGCCTGGGTAGCGTCACCGGCGATCGGAGGAACTTGGGGTAGTGTCGCTGTAGAGGGAGATGGTGTCTGGTTTTTGGTGGTTGGGTTAATTTTTTTTAGTTTTTCTTTTTTCAAAAAAAAAATATAAATTTAACCATAGTTAATATTTAATGAAATAAGGTTATGAGTGAGATGAAATTTTTAACTAATGTCATTTTGTATAATTAATTTTTAAGAGGGTTACCTTATGTGCGTAGCAGAAGTTGGGGGTTACCGGTGAGAATGTCCCTAATTTTATACTGATTATAAATAGTTATAAATGTTTGTAGTTAGTATTATTGTAATAACTAGTAAGCATGAAAATAAAAACAAACGTTGGAGTACTAAAAATACGGAGGAACTATTCGTATCGGAGTAACATGATAACTTCCGTAGGTAATGTGCTCAATATAACAATGTTATTGTGGATTACAAGATGAGACACAATTAGGACATATGATCTTAACCCAAAGTAATACTTCGCATTCCGTATTTCATAATTTGTAAGATAAAATGCATTAATGAAACTTTCATCTCAATAAGTAGAAATTTATCCAGTATTAGTTTGTAATTATTTATTTACAGTGAAATTTCTATTTTTATTTTTATTTTTTTTTCGAAATGAAAATTTTCTCTCTTGACTTATGTTGACATTTTACAGAGAATGAGAGAAACAATAATCATCTTCCAACTCCTGATCAAACTTAGGTAGCATTTTCTGACTTGCTAGCATTAAATATGAATTTTAATTTAATGGGGGAGCCGAGGGATTGTAGTACCTCAATTGCTAACATTTTAAGTATGAGTACTAGTTAATCATCATTGCAAACTCTCTTGCTAATAATGAACCAAACACCTCAGTTTGTAACGAACACAAGATAATTAAACAGTTACACCTCGGTTTAATTAGTCATTATTGCAATTTCTTGTGCCAATAACGATAATTTAGCAAATCATTAATTGATTATCTCGTGTTTAGAGTAGTCTTAATTTTATGGTTTGATAATATGAATGTTTTAATTAACCTACTTGCAAATTTATGAAAGCTCGAAAGCTTATAAAACAATAATAATGAGAAATAAAAGTACGTGTAACAGCATGAGCTTAGAATAACAGATTAACAGGAGCATAATGATTGGTACATTATGAAGTGATACAAATAATGCTAAATGTAAGTCTCATACCTCCAAAAGCAAACTTACCTTTATATATGGTAGAATAAGGTACCACATATCTTATTTTCTTACCTAAATTTTAGCCTTACGTCGAAAATTTACGAACTAATAAAACTTCTGCATGCATATGTGCATGCATGATAGCTTTCACAATACCTAACTAGTTACTATGATTGATCCAATAATAAATAGATGATTTAATGCTCCAACATTCCTAATAATGGAAAACACCTCATGAAGTGGTACCTTAATAACCACCACCTCCATATCCTCCACCATGGCCTCCACCAGCACCGCCTCCATAGCCACCTCCAGCTCCACCTCCATAGCCACCTCCATGACCCCCTCCAATGCCACCACCAGCACCTCCACCAGAACCTCCTCCAATACCGCCTCCGTAGCCACCACCGACACCACCTCCATGGCCTCCGCCAATACCGCCTCCATAACCACCACCAATACCTCCTCCGTGACCACCTCCCACACCTCCACCAATACCTCCTCCTTGACTTCCTCCGTAGCCACCTCCGACACCTCCACCCTTGCCTCCTCCTGCTCCGTATCCGCCACCAACACCACCTTCATGACCGCCTCCTACTCCACCTCCAAGTCCTCCTCCCTTGCCTCCTCCATAACCACCACCAACTCCACCTCCATGACCACCTCCGACACCACCTCCAACGCCTCCACCTTTACCTCCTCCTGATCCGTATCCACCACCGGCACCACCTCCTACACCACCTTCGTGGCCGCCTCCTACTCCACCTCCAACCCCTCCTCCTTTGCCTCCTCCATAACCACCACCAACTCCACCTCCATGACCACCTCCGACACCACCTCCAATGCCTCCACCTTTACCTCCTCCTGATCCGTATCCACCACCGGCACCACCTCCTGCACCACCTTCGTGGCCGCCTCCTACTCCACCTCCAACCCCTCCTCCTTTACCTCCTCCATAACCACCACCAACTCCACCTCCATGACCACCTCCTACACCACCTCCAATGCCTCCACCCTTGCCGCCTCCTGATCCATATCCACCTCCTGCACCACCTCCAACACCACCTTCATGGCCGCCTCCAACACCTCCTCCGTAACCACCACCAACTCCACCACCAACTCCACCTCCTACACCAACTCCAACCCCTCCACCTTTGCCCCCTCCATAACCACCTCCAGAGCCACCACCAACACCGCCTCCTACACCACCTTCATGGCCTCCTCCATAACCACCTCCTACACCACCACCTCCATGGCCGCCTCCAAAGCCACCACCACCTCCATGACCTCCTCCAACACCACCACCATATCCACCACCAATGCCGCCACCTTTACCACCTCCGTATCCACCCCCAATGCCGCCTCCTTTACCACCCCCATAACCCAAACCATCTTCCTCTCCTACAAAACCCTCCTTACCCACATTGTTTTTCTCCTCTAACTGTCTTCCCTCAGCTAACCCTACAAACACCACCACAAGTGATAAAACTAAAAACGACATTCCAAAAACTCTCAAAAACTTCCCCATGGTTTTAACTCTCTTACTCAAAATGACACTTTTCTTGTTGCTAAATGATTATTGCAATATAAGTTGTGAGTTGCATGGCGTATTTATAGGAAAAATAGGGCTAAGAAAAACGATACAATTTTCCCACTTAGTAGTAGTATAGTACAAATAGTAAAGACTATAGCAGAAGATAGTGTAGTACACTGTGCAGAGTGCATACGTGGTATTGTGTGCGGCAAACATGCAATGTTGTTTTTTTCAAAGTTGCTTGACCTTGGGTTATCAAAACATTAAATGACGGTGCTTATTTTAATTGAATTTTGATTAAGAAACTTAACCAACCACCAACTTTCTACCCACTAATACATACATAGGAGTATTAGAGTGAAGCAATCTGCTATCAACTACTACTACGTTACGTACGATCATTCTTAATGCATGATTTTTTTTTATTTTTTTTTTTAAATGTTAACGTCTTAATAGATTTTATGATCAAATTCGTTTTTACGAAAACAAATGGACATGAATAAATGAGTTGTTTTCCAATTCCATGTGATTCTTTTATTACATCTTTGAAAAAAATGAGAAAACTTTGATCTTGATTTTGATATCACTTGTCATCTTCTGTCGGTCTTGATATATAGCGATTGTGATGAGGAAAATGTAGTGGTAATTCTTGTTTTTGATACTTTGTTGTCAACAGATTAGAAGTTCAATTAATATTTGTGGTACTCTTTTTTTTTTTTTTTTTTTTTTTTTGAGAAATAATTAAAGTTACTCATTTGGCTATTAATGTATCGGTATGAACGTAACGTTTTTTTTACCGAGATATATATGCAAAAAAAAAAAAAAAAAAAAAAAAAAAAAAAAAAAAAATCATGAATCATGATGGAATACCTTGTTTGATAACTTTGAACCACCAAAAAAATCCTATAAATGTTTAAGCCATGAAGGTAATAATGATGCTTTAAAGATAATATAGAATTGGTTTTAAAAAAAAAAAAGATAATATAGAATTATAGACAATAATGTTCATTAATAAGAATTATGTCCCATAGTTTCTTTTATAAGTTGCCCACATTCGATGAAAGACCAGAGTAACTATTAGATTTGAGAAAATCCAAGATGAGATATATATCCAAGAAAGAGAAGTACTTGGACCATGGATGTACATAGCTTGTCAAAAATAATTACATCTTAAAATCAATTGTCAAAAAACTAATCTTAACTTTTTAATACATATACGTAGACATTGATATTAGAACTTATTTTGGTTGTAAAATAAACTTGGTTACCCCATGTTAATTTTATCATCAAATTTATTTTAATTTATTTTTTCTGAACTTATCCTATCTAATTTTATTAAACCTAATTTAATCTTATTTTTCCTAAAATCAAGTGAAGATAAGATTAAACTAGGGGTGGCAGGGTTGATGGTTGGGTTAATTTTAACTTTAATGAAAAAAAGATAATAAGTGGGATAAAATTCTTAAATAAGGTCATTTCGTAAAATTTATTTTCAAGAGGTAGGGTCACCATTTCCATATACCATAAGATGAACGTAAACATTGAGAATTTCATTTTTTATATTAATTTTTTTAGAACAAAGTGAAAAATAAGATGAACGTAACAAGGTACGGAGTATTACTTTGTTTGAGTTTAGATAATTGTTTTTCCTCCTTTTTCTTTAGTTAATATGGGATGATTAAATGTTCACATTATAGCTAAAGTTATATAATTTTCTTACAAAGAAATTAGCTCTTTATTTTAATCAAGCTAGCTATTTCCATATTATGATACTCCATAGAAAATAAAAGGTACAACTAGTTACAATATCTATTACTCTCTTCGTCTTTTATTTACATGTCTACTTCTCATTTTACATGGGAATTAAGAAACTTAAAAGTTATGATTGAGAAGTACAAATATGCATGTGGGGTTGGTAGTTGGTAATTATTGAAGAGATGGAGAGAGAAAGTGTTGGAAAATGATGTCAAAAGTACAAAATAAATAAAATAATAATAATAATAATAACAACTCATCAAAAAGAGGGAATATTGTCAAAAAGTACATTCTTAAAACAAAAATAGGCGTGTAATTTTGAAACCCCAAAAAGAAAAGTAGACATGTAAATAAGGGAAGAAAGAAGTAACTATTATTAAACAAACCATGCTGACATTATTAAGGGTCACATGTCAACTTCTCATGAAAAATTTTCCTGCCTAAACTATTTTTGACATCATTTTTTTTTTCTCTATTTATTTCCTTCTAAGTTTCAAGATTAAAAAAAATAAAATACTTCTTTCAAAATTAATTAAAGAGATTATGATTACACTTTTTTCTAATAAAGAATATTGACAACCATTTTAAACAAATAATAGTTATTTAATCTGTGCAACGCACGGGACTAAACTAGTACTCCCTCCGTCCCTTATTTACATGCCAACTTCCAATTTTACACGGAAATTAAGAACTTAAAAGCCATGATTAGAAAGTACAAATATGCATATGGGGTTAGAGAGAGATAGAGAAAAAAGAAAGGTAGTTGGTAATTATTGAAGAGATGGAGAGAGAAAGTGTTGGAAAATGAGGTCAAAAGTACAAAAAAAAAAACAAAAAAAAAAAATAATAACAACTCATCATAAAAGAGGGAATTTTGTCAAAAAGTACATTCTTAAAATAGAAATAGGCATGTAATTTTGAAACCTCCAAAAAGGTAAGTAGACATGTAAATAAAAAACGGAGGGATTATCTTACATCAACCGACAGGAAAGACAACAAAATAATTAATTAAATATTAAATAATAATTGAAAGGAAAAGGGAAGACGCGTAGAGAATAAAGATTAACTTCATAATTAAGAGTGACAGATTTAGCGGTAGAGAAATCTAAACTTTCAACTGCCTCCACTCTCAAATTTTCAAACTTAGATTATTTTAATGCAACCTAACCTTTTGCCATATATTTCATAAATATAACTACGTAATATTTGGTACGATAAACAAATAAACTTCATATTGGAATGCCACGCAAATTATTTTTACAAGTAGTTCAATTTTTGTCAATTTTGTCGAGTTCTGATTATTTGAAATTATCCCTATTAAATATTAATCATACTCTTAATTAGTAGCTTGGTCCCTATATTACTGCATTATTAATTTCCTATTTGCGTAAATTAACAATGCCATTAATTATCGAGGTCAAGTCTTTACTAATTAAGGGGGCAGTAAATTAATTATTTATTACATACTTGCATTTAGTTAGTTGTTCAACTTCGTCAGAAATGAAACTTAATAGTGATTGAGCATGTGCAATTAGGCAAATTGACATTGTTAAACTTAAATAGCTTCCTAATTAAAGTGCTATTATCATTGTTATATGATTTCTGTTTGTAGATGTAGCTTGATTTTTTGGATGTTGATATGTCACCCTATTGAATGTATTGATGGTGTTAAATACATTTTTTTTTCTTTCTGATGCAAATAATACAATGTTACTCTTACTCCCTTTTATTTTTACTAGCTGATTTTTGTTTTGTTATTGTAGTTAAAGGTCATAATAAATTTTCATTAATATATATAACTGTTATTGGTATAAATTAAAGTTTTTTCACTAATGTAACTAGAAAATTAGCTTTAAATTGACAAAAGCGACTTCAATGACAAGCTAATTCTTGATCCACTGATTCATGCTCATTCAGGAATGATTTTGAGCACTTGAGATGAGCAACCGCACAGGGCTCCTAAAAATAAAAGGCCCCATAATTTGGTATTTTTCATCACTACATAAAAGGGAAAAAAAAAATGTTGATCAACAATTAAATTAATGGGATTTGTCACTTTGTGATGTACTTTTAATCCTAGTAGTTTTAATTTTTAGTTTGCTTTTACATGATTTGCCGCTAATTAAATTAAAGCCTCATTTTTTTTTTTTTTTTTAGTACTAGATGGAAGCCCGTGCGATGCACGGTTTTTTCATCTAAGATTTTTAATTATTTGATTTATTGTATTTAATAATTTCGGACAAAATTATAAAAGTTTAATATTTATTTTTTTTACTATAATTTATAATGAATTTATTAAATATAAATAAATTGTAAATATGATATTTTTTCATGTAATTCGTTTTTACTGATTTCATAATATTTAAATATAAATATTATTAAATTGTAAATATGAATTTATTAAATATAAATAAATTGTAAATGTGAGAAAGGAAATATTGATACTCATAATATTTTTTATTTAAATAGAATATATTTAAATAATATGTAAAATAATTAGATGAAAACCTGTGCGATGCACGGATTTTTATACATATATCTCAAGAAAAGATATTTCTTATATACTCTAAGTTTTTTTTTTAATATATATATATATATATAATTATTTGACTTATTTTACAATTTAATAATTTTAGACAAAAAAAAAATAAAAAACAAATAATAATTTAATCAAAATGATATTGTCAATTACAAAAGTATAATTTTTTTAATGTAATTTATATCGCGACTTCATTTACTGTTGTTTTGTATTTTATTCGTTGTTCTTAGTTATATGACAATAATATGATATCTTTCAAAAAAAAAATATTTAAAATATGATATTTCATTGATTACATATTAGGATAAAATCTTTAATGTGAAAAGATAATAATTTTTTATTTTTAAAATAATTTAAATCCTAAATCATTATTCGTTGCTTTTTACACTTGAAATTAAACTCTCAAATCTATATATCATTATGTATATTTCTTGTGGCCTCTTGATCTCTAACAAATTATCTGTCTTTTAAAATTTTTAGACATAAAATTTTTACAGAAGGTAAAATTTTTTATTGGGTTAACAGTTTTAAATTTTTTTTATGAAAAAAACATCTTATAAATCGGGTATTTAGATAAAACCATTAATTTCATAAGATAATTTTTATTTTTTTTAATAATTTAAATCCTAATATCCTACGGTTTTTAATACATAAAATCTCATAAACATAATTTTTGTAATTAGATTATACTCATAATATT